TATTCTGAAAACTAGTCAAGAAAGAGAAAGAATTGGCATTTATCTTACCTTTCCTAGTTCCCTGCTAATTGGCATTTATCTTACCTTTCCTAGTTCCCTTATAATGTGTCTTAACTGAGTGTAATTACAAACTAATGAGCAAAAGATTTTTAATATATGTACTTCTAATAATAAATTGAGAAAGAATGATAAACTAAAATACCCCATTCCATTTATTCCCTATGAAGTAATGAGTGGATGTAGGCAGTGGTCATCAATGGGCACTAACATCACAAAAAGAATATCAATCATACTCTGTTATTGCTTTTTTTAAGTACCTACATGTTCTCCAAAAGTGAGCTTTAATTAGATCAGACTTCTAAGTCTAATTAACATTTTACTGGAAATATACGGGGACAGAGGAACATGTTAGATGACATGAAATCAGCAATTCCAAAATGTGGAATACTCCATAGGAAACACAACTCAGTTTTTTCAATAAATAAATTTCAATGGGTCAGGGAAGAAAGGATAATCAATAGATTTTAAAAGAAAGTAAAAAGACATAGTATTTAAATGTAATGTGTATCAAGGTACACACACACACACACACACACACATATATATTTTAGAGAGAGAGGGAGAATTTTTTTAATATTTATTTTTTAGTTTTTGGTGGACACAACGTCTTTATTTTATGGCTGAGGATCGAACCCAGTACCCCGCGCATGCCAGGCGAGTGCGTTACTGCTTGAGCCACATCCCCAGCCCACACTTATATTTTTTGATCCTGAATTGAACATAGTGATTATGAAGAGACACAGTTGGAAAAATATGACTATTATTAGTTTTCTTTTGCTGTGTTACAACTTATTCTAAAATTCAACATTTTCCTATGTAATATTATGTTATGTATGTATACCATGTTTTCTTTATCTATTCATCTGTTGAAGAGCTCTTAGGTTGGTGTCATAGCTTTTGTGAATTGAGCTGCTATAAACATTGATGTGGCTGTGTCATTGTAGTATGCTAATTTTAACTCCTTTGGATATATACTGACGAGTGGGATAGCTGGGTCAAATGTTGGTTCCATTTCTAGTTTTTTTGAGGAATCTCCATACTGCGTTTCAGAGTGATTGCACCAATTTGTACTCTTACCAGCAATGTATATGTGTACCCCTCCCCACATCCTTGCCAACATTTATTGTTACTTGTGTTCTTGATTGTTGCCATTCTGATTGGAGTGAGATGGAATCTTAGTGTAGTTTTAATTTGCATTTCTCTAATTGCTAGAGATGTTGAACATTTTTTAATGTATTTGTTGACCACTTGTATTTCTTCTTCTGTGAAGTGCCTGTTCATTTCCTTTGCCCATTATTGGGTTGTTTGTTCTGTTGGTGGTAATTTTTTTGAGCTCTTAATATATCCTGGAGATTTATGTTCTCTCTGAGGTGTAGGTGGCAAAGATTCTCTTCCATTCTGTAAGCTTCCTCTTCATGTTATTGATTATTCCCTTTGTTGTGAAGAAGCTTTTTAATTTGATGGCCTTCTACTTATTGATACTTAATTTACTTCTTGCACTTTAGGAGTCTAGTTGAGGAATTCTTTTCCTAAGTTGACATGATGATGTATTGGATCTACATTTTTCATCTAGTTGGTATAGGGTTTCTGGTCTAATGCGTAGGTCTTTGATCCACTTTGAGTTGAGTTTTGTGTGGCATGAGAAATAGGGGTTAAATTTCATTCTGCTACATATAGATTTCCAATTTTCCCAATACCATTTGTTGAAGAGGCTATCTTTTCTCCAGTGTATGCTTTTGGCACCTTTGTCTAGGAATGAGATAACTGTATTTTTGTGGGTTTGTCTCTGTCTCTACCATTCTGTTCCATTGGTCTTCTTGCCTATTTTTGTGCCAATATCATGCTGTTTTTTTACTATAGCTCTGTTGTATAATTTAAGGTCTGGTATTATGAGGTCTCCTGCTTTGCTTTTCTCACTAAGTATTGCTTTGAATAATCTGGCCTCTTATTTTTCCAAATGAATTTCATGACTGCTTTTTCTATTTCTATGAAGAATGTCATTGAAATTTCAGGAATTGCGTTAAATTTGCATAGTGCTTTTGGTAGTATGACCGTTGTGACAATATTAACTCTTGTCTATCCAAGAACATGGGAGATCTTTCTGTCTTCTAAGTTCTTCTTCAATTTCTTTCTTTAGTGTTCTGTAGTTTTTATATTTTTATTTTGAGATAGGGTCTCACTAAGTTGTTTAGGGCCTCTCTAAATTGCTGAGGCTTGCTTTGAACTCATGATTCTCCTGCTGTGCCTCTGGAGCTGCTAGGATTACAAGTGTGTGCTTAAGTCTAATTAACATTTTACTGGAAATATACAGGATAGTAGTATGCTAATTTTAACTCCTTTGGATATATACTGAGGAGTGGGATAGCTGGGTCAAATGTTGGTTCCATTCCTAGTTTTTTGAGGAATCTCCATACTGCTTTTCAGAGTGATTGCACCAATTTGTAGTCCTACCAGCAATGTATATGTGTACCCCTCCCCATATCCTTACCACAGCTTCATCTTTGACTCTTGACTGGAGGCCACTTTAAGTTTACTGTGTAGGCTTTTCCATAGTATAGTTCACAGCATGACATGCTGACTTTCATCAGAGGGAAGAAGAGAGAGTATAAAAGGGAGAACATGATTCAAGCCCATGTCTTCTTGTGAGCTAGTCTCAGAAGTAACATTCTATTGTATTTACTATATTCTGTTCATTAGAAGAGTTACTGGGTCCAGCCTATACTCAAGGGAAGAAATTACATAGGGTATACATATCAGGAGCTATTTTATAATCTGTTTACCACAGCCTAAATTTAATAACATTAAGGAATTATTGACTTCTTAGGTGTAATGATATGGTTATTTTCAAAGACATGATTATTGTTATATTAAATTTTTGTATTTGAGAGTTAACATACAAAGTATTTTCATATGAAATGGTTATTGTATTTAGAGTTCACTTTAAAATAGTCCATTGGGGGACTTGGGTTGTGGCTCAGTGGTAGAATGCTTGCCTAGCACAGGTGAGGCTCTGGGTTTGATCTTTAGTACCACATTAAAACAACAAATAAAGGTTAAATTCTTTAAAAAACTAAAAAAGACAAAAAAATCTATTGGGAGACCAGCAGGGGGCAGAGTTAGTACTTGTATTTGAAATTTTCAGTTAAAAAAGTAGAAAGGAACATGAACAAGTAAGTAAACAAAAGCCCTTAGTACCAAACTACACATGCATGCCTTAGCATAGATGATTCATTTTTGCATTCTTAGATTTTAGAAAACTGTTTTGTTTTTTTAATTTTTATTGTAGTAAAATGTGCATTACATAAAATTTACCATATCTATACCATCCTCCCCCCCACTGGGGATTGAACCCAGGGGCATTTAACTACTGAGCCACATCCCCAGCCCTTTGTTATATTTTATGTAGAGACGTCTCACTAAGTTTCTTAGGGCCTTGCTAAATTGCTGAGGCTGGCTTTGAACTGGTGATCCTCCTGTCTCAGACTACCAAGCTGCTAGGATTATAGGTACCACTGTATCTGGCACCGTATTTACCATTAAAAAAAATTTTTTTTTGTAGTTGTAGATGGACAGAATGCCTTTATTTTATTTATTTTCTTTTATGTGGTGCTGAGGATTGAACCCAGTGCCCTGTGCATGCTAGGAAAGTGCTCTGCCACTGAGCTACAGCTTCAGCCCCATATCTACCATTTTAAAGTGTATATTTAAGTACATTGACATTGTTCTTCAACCATTACTATTTCCTAATCATCCTGTAGTGACATCATATACCTGTTAAATCATAACTCCTCATTCTCCTCTCCTTCCATCCATACCAACCACTATTTTACCTTTTGTCTCTATGAATTTGACTACTCTAGGTACCTCATATGAGTAGAATCATGTAATATTTGCTTTTTTGAGTCTGGATTATTTCACTTAGCATAATGTCTTCAAGATTCATTCATGTTACAGCATATATCTATCTGCATTTCTTTTTAAAACAGAGTACTATTCCATTGTATGTTTATGCCATATTTATCCATGTATCCATTAAGGGACATTTGGTTGTTTCCTCCTTTTGGCTCTTATTAATCATGCTTCTCTGAACACAGTTATACAACGATGTGTTCAAGTCCCTGCTTTTAGTTTTTTTTTTCATATGTACCCAGAAGCAGAATTGCTAAATCAAGTGGCAGTTCTTTTTAATAAGTTTAAGAATCACCATACCATTTTTCATAGTAATGCCACTTTGCATTTCCACCAGCAATACATATGCATTCCAGTTTCTTCACATCCTTACCAATACTTTAAATTTTTTTTTTTTTTTTTTAACAACAGCGGTCCTAAGGATTGTGAAGTGGCATATCACATGATTTTGATTTCCCTAATGATTAGTGATATTGGGCATCTTTTTATGTATTTACTGACCATTTGTACTTCCTTTTTGCGGAAATGTCTTTTCAAGTCCTTTGCCCATTTTTTTTATATATTTTTTGGGATGGCATCCTATTATATTGCCCACACTAGGCTCAAACTTGTGATCCTCCTGCCTCAGGCTCCCTTGTAACTGAGTCTATAGGTATTCATCACATACCTAATTTTCTTTGCCTACCTTTTCAGTAGAAAAGATAAATACTTATGTCTGCTGAGTAGCATACTTACCAGGGAGAATTACTGTTATTTTAAAATTGTATATCCCTCATTAGATTTGGAGTTTCTCAAAGGCTAAGGCTGTGTGTCTTCTCTTTTCCTCACATTGATGCTGTCTCAAACATAGTGAGAAATAAATCCAAAAATTAAAGTGGACATTTCTGAAATAATACTTTGAAATAAAAATGTTAAAAGTGGTGTAACTAAGAATTTTAGCAAGCATAAGTACAATAAAAATGATAGTTAAAATCTTAGTCTTTGTTTCAGAGACATGATAATAATGTGCTTTCTCTTTTGGTATTCAAAAGGTTATTCTTTGATCAAGACAAATCTCTTAGATCTGAGTTCAGTGTTCATCCTGGTATAAGTGGACTGTGCCAAGGTGAGAATGATTCTTTTCAATAAGAATTCTCATATTATTTTCCCAACTATTATTGTTCCATTACCGCAATTTTATATTTAGTCTTATTCTTAACTTTATGCAAAGTTAGTTTCTTATAAATATGTGTAACAGACTGTAAGGTCTGTTAAGGTATAGAAGGGACAAAAATGGGAATTGTAGCTTCCAGAAGATATTTAAGACTCCTAGAAATGATCCATAGACATTAAAGTAGCACTCTTGATAGCTTGTCTCCCCCTGACTGCCAAAATCTCTACCTTAAACCTATAGCTTATTCGTAAAAGTAAATAATATTTCTTAATAACTACACTTATTCTTACAGACTAAAATTACACCACATATACTTGGTATGTTTATTTTTAAAAATTACATTTCACTTACCAATTAGCTGTACTTCCTGTGCCCACTTCTAGGTTGATTTAAATATTTCTAGAAAACTGCATCTTACAAGATCAATTCTGCAGTAGCTGACTAAATGTAGATTATTTCTTTGTATGGATTTTTTTTCTGTGAACCTTCCTTTTATTTTGGAGGAATTGGTGTAAAACAGAGTAAAACAATTTTTAATACCCACGAAGGTCTTTTAATTTTTGTGTACAGAGTCCTTTTACTGTACATATCTGGTAGCCTAATGGAAGATCACAGTTTCTCCTTTAAGTATTTTTTCTACTTGGCAGTTGGAAGAGACAATGTGTAATATGGGTCTTCAGAATGCCATCTTACGATTTATAAAGTGCTACCAGAAAGGAGTTAGAGATTTGTTTGAATATTCCAACCACACTTTTTCATTTTTTTTGATATTTTTTTAGGAACTTGAAAAACATTGTTTGAATATTCCAACCACACTTTCCTTCCCTTTCCTTTACCAAATGAATTGACATTTATTATTTTTGTCAGTTATTAACAATATAAAATAATTTTAAATTATGAAATATATAATGTAGAAACTGAAAAGGACAATAACTACTTACCATGGTTATTTTCATCCCTTACTCCTTCCTTCTGTAGTCTGCTCTCTTTGCCAGTGTTTAGTATTGGTGTATTCTTCTAGAGTTTTTTTATGCCAGATGAATATCTTCATAATTGTTATCATTTTTACATGTGGTTCTTTCCTTGTCTATATTGATCTACCACAATCTTGTGTAAGTTTTTTTAACTTTAATTTTTCATTTTAAGTAAGAAGTTCATTTAAACAAGAAATGCTTGAATGAAGGGAAAACTACCTAGCATTATTTTTTTGAAGTAATTTTTCCCTACTTAAGTACAGATTGCCCTACATATAACAACTACATATAAAAAAGTTATAAAATTGTTATTGATTTACAACAACAAGTAAAAACCATTAAATATTTCCAATCAAATAAGATATGCAAGGATTTTATGTTTTGTTTACTTTTTAGTTACAATAGTGAAAATAAAATAACTTAGTGAAACAGAAAAGCTGAGTAAGCATGCTACTAATGAAGATAGTTTATTATTTTTACAGAACCAATATTTTTCCCCATCCCATCTCTATTTGATTTTGATCAAAGCATACATTGGCCATTTAGTTTTTTTAAAAAAGGCAATATTCTTGGTCACATGCTTTGTTACTTTATGCACAGTAAAGGACTGGGGAAGGGGAAAATAAAGAAATAAGAGAAAACTATACTTTGGTAGTAAAGACTGTAGTGAAACCAAATTATTGTTTTCAACTGAGAATGTACTCTATGAGAATAATGTTTTGGAGGAAAGTAGCAAGTTTTCTTTTAAGAAGACACCTATCTGCTACTGGAATACATTAAGTGAACCTTCATCCTTCCTTTGCACCAGGTGTGTCTCTTTCATTGACCAACTGATTGTCAAGTTGGATTCCAGTTTATCTCATTGACAAACCCTGTTCACAGTAGACTTTCATGAATTTATTAAGTGTATCTTAGCCTACCACAAGATCATCCTGCTTCAGCACCTTCAAATCTAATATGACCATTGTTTTTAGTCTTGACTCCTCTTTGGGAATTTTGTAGAATATGGCAAGTGCCAGAGCATCCTCAGTTGTTGCTATAAAGAGATACCAAACAAGCCTACCAACCTTTTAAATTGCTACATATTATTCCATCATATGAATGTATTTTATTTAAAATAAACATGTTTATGATGTTTCTCAATATTATTACAAATATAAATATCTTTGTACATCTACCATAGCTTACTTTTCTGATTATTACCTTAGAAGAATAATATAGAAGTTGATTTACTGTTAAGGGGTTTACACATCAGCTGTTGATACATATTGCCCCTAAGACGGTTTTTATCCCCTAGATTCAGCAAGACATATTAACTTTTTGCCAGGTAATTATTTTTTGAATGTGAATTGCTTGCATATGTTTCCTAATATTTTAATTTATAAGAGCATTTTATGTGTAAAAGATACAAACTTGTGCCATATGTATTATAGTTTTACCCAGTTTCTTGGTTACCTTTTAATGTTGTTCATGATATATTTTGTGGTAAAGTATATAGTATAATCTGTCAGTCTTTTCTGTCAGGGTTTCTTTTTTTTTTCCCCAAACATAGAATTACTTTACCTACCTCAAAACTGTAAAATATATTCTATCTTTATTTCCATTTATTTATGTCTTTTGCATTCATATCTTTAATATCTTTAGAGTATTTTGGCATATGGGGAAATAAAAAGGATCTAACTTTATTTTTTCAAATGGTTGGCCACTTGCCTCAATATTATTATTTTAAACATTTTTTTATTCTAATAGTTACACATCCAATATTTTTTAAATTTTTATTTATATATGACAGCGGAATGCATTACAATTTTTATTACACATAGAGCACGATTTTTCATATCTGGTTGTATACAAAATATATTAACACCAATTCATGTCTTCATACATGTACTTTGGATAATAATGATCATCATATTCTACCATCATTTCTAACTCCATGCTCCCCTCCCTTCCCCTCCAACCCTTTTGCCCTATCTAGAGTTCATCTATTGCTCCCATGCTCCCTCTCCCTATCCCACTATGAATCAGCCTCCCTATATCAAAGAAAACATTAGGCATTTTTTTTTGGATTGGCTAACTTCACTTAGCATTATGTTCACTAACTCTATCTATTTACCTGCAAATGCCATGATTCTATTCTCTTTTATTGCTGAGTAATATTCCATTGTGTATATAAGCCACATTTTTTTTTATCCATTCATCTATTGAAGGGCATCTAGGTTGGATCCAGAGTTTAGCTATTGTGAATTGTGCTGCTATAAATGTTGTTGTGGTTATGTCCCTGTAGTTTGCTGTTTTTAAGTCCTTTGGGTATATACTGAGGAGAGGGATAGCTGGGTCAAATGGTGATTCCATTCATCTGGAAAAGTAAGAGACCCAGAATAGCTAAAGAAATCCAATATTATTTTTTGAGTAATCTTGTTCTGTTTAAAATAAAATTATTGTCATATATACACATATATATTTCCCACTCCATTTTGTTTCACTGATCTATGTGACTATTTCTGTGCCATCACTACATTATTTTATCATCTTTAGGTTTTAGTACATTTTTGTACGAGGTAAGGAAAATATCCTATACAGAGTAGGTGGCTACAGTATTCATATTAAGTTTCATAGGTATAGGCAGCAAGCTCAGTGAAGTACGAGACTTTACCCACTGTGTGCTTCCAATTTGCCTTTTTTGTGATTTTAGTTGGCCACATTTTTTCTGAGTTGGGAGGTTTTTTTGGAATTCTAATGTAAGAAATCCAGAGTTACTTTTAAGGACGCTCTTTCTTTTCCTGTGTTGAGCGGCAAACTGTGTCTTAGTTGACTTGGGCTGCTATACAAAATAACTTAAATGGCTTAATCTACAGATTTTTTTTTTAAAGAGAGAGTGAGAGAGGGAGAGAGAATTTTAATATTTATTTTTTAGTTATTGGCGGACACAACATCTTTGTTTGTATGTGGTGCTGAGGATCGAACCCGGGCCGCACGCATGCCAGGCGAGCATGCTACCGCTTGAGCCACATCCCCAGCCCCATTAATCTACAGATTTTATTTCTCAAGAATTTCAAGATCTTGGAGGTTCAAGATCAAGGTGCTGGGAGATTTGGTGCTTGATGAGGGCCTTTTTTCTGTCCTGCAGACAGCTGGCATATTGCTGTGTGCTTATATGATCTGATCTGTGTACTTATGTAGAAAACACTCTGGTTTCTCTCCTTGTTTTACAAGGATGCTAATCCCATATGAGGGCTCCACTCCTGTGAATTCATCTAAACCTAATTACCTCTCACAGGCCCCCCTAATATCATCACATAGGGGTTAGGGCTTCACCATGAGAATTTCGGGAGAGATATAAACATTGTCCGTAGGAAGCTGTTTACCATTTGTTTAATTTTCCTCTAATCCATTCCCATCTTTTGATCTATAAGAGGTACGTTTCATTTTATTCCATTGTTGCTACGGATGAAGCAAAAAGAAACTATTCATTTTTTTTGGTATTTTTTTTAGGAACTTGAAAAAAAATTAAAGTACGAGTTTTATTTGCCTTTTTGAGAACAAAACTGGTTTTTCTTCAATTATCTACTAATATTATGAGTTTTAAAATATGATCTAAAATGAAGTGGGGGAAAAGTTTATTTATTTATTTTTTGGTATTTAAGTCTATATCATTTTCTGTACTTATTGGTTGTATTCATTCATCCTGAAACAGAGAAATAAAGTAGTATTTCATTCAGTGTAGCATATGTGTCTCCTGCTAACTGGAAACTTTAAAAAAAAAAACATTGGCACATAACAGTGACAGTTAAGGAATTATACACAAAGGGTTTTATTTGGTTTTGAGTTTTTTTTTTTTTTTTTTTTTTTATGCTGGGGATTGAACCCCAGGGAGTTGCAGAAGCTAATCACCCTCATTACCACTGAGCTATATCCTTAGCTCCTACAAAATGACTTTTAATGAAATTTTGCAGTATCTATGAAATCCTGAGTCAAAGGAGATCAATAAAACTATTGCAAATGACTTATGATTTTATTTCATTCTAGGCATTCCTTCTCCTGAGATTCAACTTGGGCACAAACTCAGTGAGGGTCTGCAAGAGCCAATGAATGAAAATAAGATGATGACTGTTCTTAGTGCGGATACAGTATTACAGGTGTGGAGCCATCAGTATGATTGAATACACACTTATTAAAAATTGAAAATGTTATCTCAATGGAAAATTAACAGTGACAATTCTTTTGTCTAGTATTTTGCTTTTTTCCTTTTTCCTCCCTTTAAAACAGTCTCTTAATCAGTCATTCTATTTCTTTACTACAGCTTTGATGAAGTTCATTTGTTTTTTTTGGGGGGGATATATAATATTCCCCCCTGCCCATAGCTTTCTTTTTTTTTTTTTGTTAGAGATATGGAAGAGAAAGGAACAAGGTTAAAATAGGATGTAATAATTGAGACTTTCATCTCCATTGTATGTCAGAGATCATCTTAAATTTGTGAAGAAGATGCTAGTCTTTATAATACAATTTGAGATTTGGGCCGCTTAAAACCTTTTTGTTGTTTTATGTGTATGAATATGTGTGTTGTGTAGACATTCGCATACTTAGCTTAAGAATTTTGTTTCTGAATTCAAACACCAAGGGGAATGGTAAGGGGTAATTCAGTAAGCACTTCAGTTAGTAGAAACTGTCAGCAGTTGCAAAGACTCTCTGTGAGGGTCTATTTAATATTGTAGCTAGGAAGATTTATCACAGTATTTATTTCTGATAAAGAGAAAAATTTAACACCAAATATTTGTCCTTGAAACTAAGATAGCCTTATTTGACTCCTAATAATTTGTTTAAAAATTGGGTTTACAATTTCTGAATGAAGAAAAAAATTCCCTCTAGCTTCTGTAACTGTGAAATAAGAATATTTTTTTCCATTTATCTTATAAGCATTTGCTATGTAATTATTATACCAGGTCCTCGAATGTACCTTAGCACATGGTTTTGAAAGCTTGATTATCAACCTACTTTGGATAGCTTTTTAAAAATATGAATTTCCAGATTATGCTTATGTAGAACCTGGAAATTCCCATTTTTTGAAAGCCTCCCAAGTAGTTTCCGATGATTGGCTAGCTTGGAAAAATTGCTTTAAAGGACTGTGAAAATAAACCTTTTGAAACTTAACTATATAGAGAAATTGATTTGATCACATATAGAAATGGAGAGATCTGGTAAAATACTTTCTCCGAGTTAAAGAAAGAAGTATATTGTTTTTATAAATTGAATCAGAGTTCTAAGTAATTGCTACCTAAATACTCAAATACCAATTGGCATTTCAACTTCAAAGACGAATATTTTAGAAATTATGGCCTATTTTAAATAAGGACAAACAGAAGAAATAGAGGATCTTTGATTTGGTATCTTTCAATACCTTTGGTTTGAAATCTTGAAATACTTTTGGTTTGGGTCTTGCAATAGCTTTTCTAGTTTTTAAATGTGCTGCATAGGAATCAGTTTTTAAATTTTACATAAATAAATTTTGATTTCAGTTGGAGAGTTTAGTGATACGTTTGGAGACATTGTATCTATCAAAGTTGTGTGGGATGGTTAATTTTGTGTGTCAACTTGACTCAGTCATGAAGTATCCAAATAATTTGTCAAATATTTTTCTGTGATGATGTTTCAGATGATATTCAAATATTTTTCTGTGATAATGTTTCAGATGATATTCAAATATTTTTCTGTGATGATGTTTCAGATGATATTATCACTTAAATCAGTATACTTGAGTAAAACAGATTGCCCTCTGTATTGTGGGTAGACTTCATCAAATCAGTTGAATACCTGATTTGAATAAAAAGACCTGCCTCTCTCAGCAAGAGAGAATTCTCCAGCAGGCTGCCTTTGGACCTCAACTGCTCCATCAGCTTACTTTGATTATCAGCCTACTTTGGATAGCTTTTCCCTGCTGGTCTTTAGACTTCATCTGTATCATCAGCTCTCTCGGTTTTCTGCCTGAAGACCTTCAGATTGAAACTTCAGCCCTAACTTTCTTGGTCTCAAGCCTGACAGCCTACAGTGTAAGATTTGGACTTAGTTTCTATAATCATGGGAGTCAACTCTTTATAATAAATACCATATATATGTATATACATGCACACACACACACACACACACACACACCTCTATTGGTTTTGTGTCTCTGGAGATCCTTGAGTAATACAGTGGGCATTGCTAGTCTCATAATCAATATTTGGTCACCTCAAAGATACTTGTTTGTTAGGGAATAATAATAAATAATATAATAAGCATTATTTTAATAATTAAAATTATCACAAAACATTTTAATAATTATAAAATAAAATTATTATTATAAATATAATAATTATTATTATTCAGTTTTGCAGTTATTGTAAGCAGGCCACTTCTACCACTTCTTTCTCTGAAATGCAGGACTCTGTCTGAGAGGTGTGGATCCAGATTGAATCCTTTTCCCTTTCTGTACCCTTATCTCTATGTAGAGGTGGATTCATTAAAATACATGTTAAGAAGGACCTAGAAAGACTTAATGGAAATTTAAAAATGTCAGAAGACATTATCAAGGGCTGAGGCTATAGTTCAGTGGCAGAACACTTGCCTAGCATGCATGAGGCACTGGGTTTGATCCTCAGCACCACATACAAATAAACAAATAAAATAAGTCATTCTGTCCATCTACAACTACAAAAAAAAAAGTGTTGATAAGGATGTAGAGAAATTGAAATCTTTGTGCTTTGCAGGTGGGAATATAAAATGGTATAGTCCTATGGGAAATATGGCAGTTTCCTCAAAAATTTAAACATAGTAACACTATATGATCTAGCAGTTCTACTTTTGAGGGTACACCTGAAAGAACTAAAAGCAGGGACTTGAAGAAATATTTGTACACTTATCTTCATAGTAGCAGCATTCATAATAGCCAAGAAAGATGGAAGCAATGGAAGGGTCCTCAATGATGAATGGGTATACAAAATGTGACACATTCCTGAAATGGAGATTATTCAACCTTAAAAAAAGGAAAAATACTGATACATGCTACCACATGGATGAACCTTGAAGACATTGTACTATGTGAAATAAAGTAGTCCCCATATGACAATATTGTATGATGCCTCTTTTATGATGTTCCTGGCATAGTCAGACTCAGAGAGACAGGAGTAGAATGATGGTTGCCATGGGTGGAGAGAGAAGGAAATAGAGTATTCATGTTTAGGATATGGAGTTTGAGAACCCAACAATGTTCCGGAGATGAATGGTGGCAGTGGTTGTACAACAACTGAATTACTGAAGACCATAGAACTATACATCTAAAAATGGTTATTATGGTAAATTTTATGTATATTTTGCCACAATAAAATAATATAAGACTTATCTTAAATGTTAATTTTTTAGCTTGTTTTATTAGATTAGCACATATAAAAAAAACTACTGTTTTTCTTCCTAGCAACCTCAAGATGAAACAGCACAAAATCAAGCTGTGTCACAGTAAGTATACCAATTTTTGGCTTTATTATATTGTGGGTTTAAAAAAATATTTTTTTAAATTAAACATGAACACATTACCTTTGTTTTACTAATTTATTTATTTTATGTGGTGCTGAGGATTGAACCAGGTGCCTCATATGTGCAAGGCAAGTGCTCTACCACTGAGCCACAACCCTAGCCCCATGTTGTGGGTTTTTTAGCCCCATTTTTTTTAGTCACTTGGTACATCTGAGGTATGTCTTTATTTTCTTAAAGAGTTTCAGAATTATTGTAGATTTTTAAATAATTGCCCATTTAGTAGCATAAATGTGTTTTACAAACATTCCAGGTAAGATTTATTTCATAAGAAGACAGAATCAGATTAAGATAAATTGATTCTTTTATATTTTAAAAGCAAGTTTATAGCATAACATAAAGGAAGAATTTGTAAAGCTTATTGAAATTAGAATTAGTGTAACTATTAAACTTTGGGAGACTATTCTTTTAGTTCTTTGAGTATATTCTGTGAATTCCTGAGAACTCTCCAGGAGTTCCTGATATTCTTTTTGGGAGTCTCTTAAGGTCAAAACTATTTTCGTAATAATAGTAACATATTATTTGCCCCTTTAATAGTGTTTCCATTTGTGTGACAATGCTAAAGCAGCAGTGGGTAAAATGCTGGAACCTTAGTAGAAATCAGTGCAGTGGCACCAAACAATACTGCGGTTATCTTATTTTTCACTGCCATGTACTAGCATTTAAAAAAAAAAAAAAAAAAGCCAGTTTCACTAAAGAATGTGACAAAGCAGAAAAGTTGTTGATTTTATTAAATGTTTAATCTTGATTATATATCTTTTTAATATCCTATGTGATAACAAAGCAAGTGTGTTTAAAACATTTCTGTGTGTACTGAATTACACAGTAGTCTTGAAGAAAGTACAAGTGCACTTATTGTAAATATTGTTAAGAAAACTAGTTTCACTTTTTTATTTTCTAACTTTGAAGCATGATTGACAAATTGGCTATTTTCATTGGTTATATGGCATTTTTTTTTAAAGGAATGGAATACGCTGGTTCCTTCAAGGAAAACAGCTGATAGTGTTTGATGGCAGTGGAAAAAGTTGAAGCTTTCTAGTTACAATTTTGGAAAACTGGGTTCATCCCCTTGACCTACCTGATGATTTTCTAATGCTTCAAATTTTCTTGTGAAATCACAGATAAAATTTATGAAGGTAATTTTTTTTGATGTTTTATAATGAAATGTGTTAACATTAGGAAGATCCATAAAACTCAATAAATCAGTATTTCCTAAAAGATCAGTTACAAAATCAGGTGCAAGTAAAACATCCAATTGAAGTACAAGATAGAAAAAGAAAAAAAAATACAAGATACACAATTGGTTTTAGTGTAGCAGCACAAGAAGCTTATTGATTTTGTTTCAGTTTCTGTATGTTTTAAATTTTATTTTATTGGTTCTTAATTATAGAATTAAGTAGAATCCATTTTGGTAAAATTATATAAGCAAAGGATATATCTTATTCTAATTAGGATCCCATTCTTGTGAGTAGGCATGATGGTGGGGTTCATTTAAGTATTTTCAAATGTGTTCATAGGAAAATTATATTTATTCTATTGTCTTTCCTATTCCTGTCCCCTCTCCCTTTCTTTCTTTCCCCTTTGTCTAATCTACTGAACTTCTTCCCCTCCCCTCCTTTAACATGGAGAAATCAATAAATGTAATACATCACATAAACAGACTTAAAGATGAGAATCACTTTGTTATCTCAATAGATGCAGAGAAAGCATTTGACAAAAATACAGCATTTGTTCATGTTTAGAACACTTGAAAAATTAGGGATAGAAGGAACATACTTCAAAATTGTAAAAGCTAAATATGACAAACCCAAGGCTAACACATTCTAAACAGAAAAACTGAAAGCATTTCCTCTAAAAACAGGAACAAGACAAGGATGCCCACTTTAATCACTTCTATTCAACCTAGTCCTTGAAATTCTAGCCAGAGCAATCAGGAAAAAGAAAGAAATTAAAGGGTATGAATAGGAATAGAAAACTATCTCTGCTGACAACATGATTTTATATTTAGAAGACCCCAAAAAACTCCACCAGTAAACTTCTAGAACTGATAAATGAATTCAGCATAGTAGTAGGATACAAAATTAACATCCATAAACAATTGCATTCCTATACTCTAAGGATAAATCAGCTGAAAGAAATATTTGGAAAACTATCCCATTCACAGTAGCCTCCAAAAAAATAAAATACTTAGGAATCAATTTAACAAAAGAGGTGAAGGATCTCTACAATGAAAACTACAGACTACTAAAGAAAAAAATTGAGGAAGGCCTTAGAAAATGGAAAGATCTCCCATGTTCTTGGATAGGCAGAGTCAATATTGTCAAAAATGGCCATAATATCAAAAGCATTATATGGATTCAATGCAGTTTCCATCAGAAACATTCAATGACGTACTTCATAGAAATAGAAAAAGAATCATGAAATTCAGTTGGAAAAGAAGCCCAGAATATCCAAAGCAATCCTTGGAGACATGAAGCAGGAGGCAACACAATACTGGACCTTAAATTATACTATAAAGCTATAGTAACAAAAACAGCATGGTTGGCACTAAAATAGGCAAGAAGACCAGAATAGAAGACACAGTTTCTATATTTCAACTAACTTTTTCCCCCCTGTGTTGGGTATTAAACCTAAGCCTTTAAGTGAACTAGGCAAGTGCTCTACTGCTGAGCTACATCCCTAGCCCCTAAGCAACTTTTAAAAATCTTATAGCTTGTAGATTTTGGTGTGATGTCATTGAAGAATATTCACAATTATCTAAAAAGTCTATTAAACTGTTCTCCCTTTTCTGACTGCATACAAGTGTGTGGCTAGGTTTTTATTAACTACTTCAACCAAGATAATAATATATGGCAACATATTAATTGCAATAGCAGATATAAGATGGTATTAAGGCCAGGCATGGTGGCACATACCTGTAATCCCAGTGGTTCAGGAGGCTGAGGCAGGAGGATCATAAGTTCAAAGCCAGCCTCAGCCATTTAGCAAGGATTTAAGCAACTTACTGAGTCCCTGTCTCAAAAAATAAAGACAGTGGATGTGGCTCAGTTGTTAAGCACCTCTAGGTTCAATCCCCAGTACTAGGAAAAAAATTAATATTATATCATACAATAAAGAGATTCTTTAATCTCTTTTAAAGATACCAATACTAAAGAAAAAAATTGAGGAAGGAAAATTTTTAAGGGTGTAAAGGAGTCTGAAGATCAAATTTTAAAAATATTTATGTTTTTAAGTTGTAGTTGGACACAATACCTTTATTCCATTCATTTATTTTTATGTGATGCTGAGGATCGAGCACAGGGCCCTGCGTGTGCTAGGCAAGCACTCTACGGCTGAACCACAATCCCAAAATAAACTGTGAAACATTGCAACTTTTTTTTTTTTTTAATTTGGAGATTGAACCAGGGGTGCTCTACCAATGAGCTATATCCACAGCTTTATTTATTTATTTATAGACAGTATCTCATTAAATTGCCCAGGATGGCCTCATACTTGTGATCCTTCTGCTTCAGTTTACCAACTAGCTGGGATTACTTGCAGGAAATACTCATGCAAACCACTGCACTTTAGCTCACTAATTTTTTTTCATTTTGGAAAATATAATTTATCATAAAATATGTTAATATATTGCTGGATTATTACTGTCATTTAAAAACAAATACTTAAACTTTAATTTCTATATTGAAGTATATATATTCCACATTAGCTAAAGCTCTTTGGTATCTTCAATAATTTTTAAGGATGTAAACGATTCTGAAGATCAAATTTTTTAAATATTTATTTTTTTAGTTGTAGTTGGACAGAATACCTTTATTCCATTCATTTATTTTTATGTGGTGCTGAGGATCAAGCCCAGGGCCCTGCACATGCTAGGCAAGTGCTTACCACTGAGCCACAATCCCAGCCCCGTGAAGATCAAAAATTTTAAGGATTATTATAAAATAACCCTTTTACCAAATATATTAGAAGTATAAATTCATTTTAAAAAATGGAAAAAAGAAAAAATTAAGGAAGATTAGCATAGCACAAAATCTCACTGCCCAGAGAACTATTGTTGACATTTTGGAAGATTTTATTTTAGAATTTGGATCATTCATAGATAGTGCTGCATACTGTTTTTTAATTTTTAAGTAATAACTTATAATTATTTTTTCATGTTATTAATGTTTTTTGAATGTGTGAGTTTATTACTTTGTTATATAACTGATTATGTTCTCTGATTTGTTTGGTCATTCTATGGTAGGATATTTAGATTATTTGCAGTCTTGCCTAATATAAATAACTTTTTAATAATTTAGGAGAAGCTTTGCTGTATTTTCAGATTTATGTCTTAAATTCTCCTTTATAATTAAGGAAAAAATTATCTTGTTGACTCAAACCAAGGTTTTGTTTTGTTTGTAATTACTTCTTCTCAAAGCATAACATTTTGGGAAAAAAGAGAATTTTTTTTCTATTTGCCTATTAAAAATTATCATTTTATATTAATAGTTTTATTTCCATTTTCAAGTTAACATATTAATCACTTTTTTGTATAAGAAAGTCTGCTCAATTTATTATTCTTGGTTAGGATTTAAGTAGCTGTACCTGATGCATAAAAACTGCTCTAAAAACATCTGAAATGAGGGAGTTGTTTTTTTTTTAAGGAAATTATCTTAGTTTTATTTATGCAGTGTATTGTCTTTCCTTCAGTCAACTTTTTTCCCCTTGGTACAACAAAATCATTTATTTTGCAAGTAAAATTTTTAATAATTTAGTGAAGGAATAGTTGCATGTATTTAAGAAATAAATGTTTGTGCATAGAATGGAAAATTATTCTTGTAAAATGGATATATATTTGCTCATCCAGTAGCAACTATAACAGCCAAATTTTGTCAAATAAGGGATTTCATTTATTTATTCAATTTATTTATTTATATTCAATTATTTCAAGGGATAAGGAAGAAGTATACAATCTTCAACTTTTAATTATCCAAAGGCACAGTGTCAGAATTTCAGATTAGACATGACCCTTATTTTGCCTTCAGGCTCTTCCTTCTCGTATTTCTTACATTTTTTTTTTTGCCTGCTGTGAAAAATAATGATAAAATAATGTCTGAGAAATTTCTCATTAGTGATTTTCACTTATATCTGAAACTATAATGACAAACTATCAGCATGTTTGAGGATGTATGTAGCCAACCTACATAATTCTGGACTATTTTCTCCCTATCATTGCTACCTCTATTTGGCAAGCAGTTATCTCCAAAAATTTTTTCAAATCAAATATATTTAGCTTACCTTGTGGTATTGATATGAAATATTCCCCCAATGTGTTGAAGGTGTGGTCTCTAGAGCAACCATGTTCAGAGGTAGAGCTTTGGGGAATTGATTGAATTAAGAGGGCTTTTATTTCATTAATGAATTAATCCATTGGTAGATTCATAATTTGCATGGGGTCTTCTTCTTCTTCTTCTTCCTCTTCCTCCTCCTCCTCCTCCTCCTCCTCCCCCCTCCTCCTCCCCTCCTCCTCCCCTCCCCCTCCTCCTCCGCTTCTCCCCTTCTCTCCTCCTCCTCCTCCTTCTCTCCTTCTCCTTCTCCCCTCCTCCCTCTCCTCCTCCTCTTCCTCCTCCTTCTTCTTCTCTCTCTCTCTCTCTCTCCCTCTCTCTCCCTCCCTCCCTCCCTCCCCTTCCCAGCTGCTTCTAGGTGAGCAGCTTTCCTCTACCACATCCTGCCACAATATTCTACCTTGCCTCAGGCCCATAGCAATGAAACTGGCTGACCACGAACTAAAACCTCTTAAAACTTTGAACTCAAATCTTTTCTCTTTAAGTTTTGTTACAGCAATGAAGAGTTGACTGATGCTTACACTGCTGAACTATCTAATCTTTTTTTTTCAGCTTGCTCCTTTAATTTTGCAGTCACTTCATAGGTAAATGTTAACAAGTTGATAATTATAAAAATAATTGGAATGATGTAGCAAAAACAATAACATTTGGAAAGCTCTTCTTAAGAAGTTTTAATTATATTTGGATGAAAATAGTATTTTTTTTCCTTTCCACTAAAAGGGTTAATTAATTTGCTCATTTATTTTTTAGGACTAGAAAAAATTTTCCAATGTTCACTGTGTCATGTCCCCAGCCTATACTTTCATTGAATCATCAAAACATTGAAGGTATGTTTTAATGGGTGGAGGTTTTTCTTTGCCTGAAAATAAAAGGCTTAGATATGGAGTTACTTACAAGTAGGCTGGTATACTGTACATTTTAATTTGAAATCAGTGTTGCTATTGAAGTTGGATTGTGTTGCATAGAATTGCCTGTGAAGAAAACAGGTCAGCTGCAATCAGTACCTGCTACTCCAAATGCCTACTCTTTCTACTTGTGATTTTTGGGGCTGAAACTTGAAAGAAAATGTTTTGTTTTTTCTGTTCATAACATCATTAATATCTACACTATGCTCTCCCTGACTGGCAGTCACACAGGCCAGTTTTACTTTGGTTTCAGCTACATTAGAGAATGCTATTTTTCTCTTTGAGGTGTCTCCTAGGAATTCCTCCAGAGTGAAATTATGTATGTTGTGTCACACTGTAGTAAATATTCATGATAGTTAGTGAAACCTTGTAATATAAGAAAAGGGCAGGAATACATGATAAGAAATTGGAAAAGATAAATTTATAAAGCTCTGTATTCTGCTTTGCATTACCACTTCTCCTTATCACTAATTCTTACATCACACTCCTAGTGCCTAATAATATTATCTGTTCATTCTTTTAATGAGTATGTTTTGAACTTTCTGTGTGTCACGTGTATTGGTGGCACACGTGTATTGGTGGCTATAGGTGTATGAATTCTAAATAAACCAGGGATCCTTAAAGGATCTGGATTTCAGGATGGTCTGAAATGAATCATTGCTGAAAAGTGATGACTCTTTTAAGGATGTCTGGGGGTAGCACTAAAACAATAAAGGCCTAGATCGTTGCTTCCCCTGGCCTGCTGTGAGAAATTCAGGAAAAAAAACCCAATAATTTGGGGGCTGTGGATGTGGCTCAAGTGGTAGCGCGCTCGCCTGGCATGCGTGCGGCCCGGGTTCGATCCTCAGCACCACATACAAACAATGATGCCGTGCCCGCCGAAAACTAAAAAAATAAAATATAAAAAAAAAAAAAACCAATAATTTTTAGTTCGTGGAAATTTTTGTGGACAGATTATATATTCACAGTAATACTAAAAAATGTTAATAATACATAAAAAGTTGTCTATAAAAGGTGACCATAGTAGGACTTATTAAAGTTTGAATGCCTTTTAAAAGTCAGGACCTGTTAATACAAGTGCATTTTGTTTTATTTACAATATATATGTCTATTTGTAAATCACAGGGTTTTTCTGTTTATCCACTAGTAAGTAGAAAAAAAAGAAAACATAACTATGAATAAGTTCTGTGGTCTTGGAGAAAGTAAGAATCGTACCAAGAAAGGGAAGGTACATGTGTATACAGAGCACCAGTAGTGACACATTAAAAAGTGTGGGAAGTGAGGTCTAAGCATGTCCTAAGATGACAAATAAGTAATACCCAATTAAAGAGAGTGTTTAGCAGGGACTAGATCCCACACCTCTTAGGAAATAAAAGCCATAAATATCCCTGCCTGTTGTTAGATTGTTGAGGGCCACAGCCCAGTCGGGATGACGCATGGCATTTTTGCCATAAGTAGTGGTTGAGAGGTGACGCCAGCGAGTTCTCGCGGAGTTCCTGTTGAGTTCCGGTTGAGCTCTCGCGGGGATTCCTGAAGAGTTCGCATTGGTTGGGGAAGTGCCGGAGGAGGGATTTCCGGTTGTTGGTTCCTGGAGGAGCCGCGTGGCGTTCGGGAGAGTTCCTGGGGAGCGTGTGTGGAGTGTGCTGGTGGAGTTCAGAAATAAAGTTTGTTCCTGCTTCAGTGGCTTGTGATTTGTGCCCAGCCAGACTGCGGCATTAGATGCTGATAAAAGGTATAAGTTTATAATAATACTAACAGAACAAGTCAGTATATAATAAATATTAGAACAATGGCCAAATAAAACTTAAAGATGGCATTGTAAAAAAAATAAACAAGAGAAAAACCTTTGTGAAGTCTAAGGTGTTATTTTATAAGTAAAGCTAGATAACTGGCTACTGAGGTTTGAATCCAACAAAAAATCAGGTAAGCAAAGGACTTAAAATCAGCATACTACAGTAATGCAGCCACATCAATGTTTATAGCAGCTTAATTCACAATAGTTAAGCTGTGGAACCAACCTAGATGCCCTTCAACACATGAATGGATAAAGAAAATGTGGTATATATACACAGTGGAATATTAGTCAAGAAGAAGAATGAGATTATGGTGTTTGCTGGTAAATGGATAAAACTGGAGACTATCATGCTAAGTGAAATAATCCAATCCCCCCAAACCAATGGCCAAATGTTCTCTTTAATATGTGGATGCTAACACACAATGGGGGTGGATGCTAACACACAGTGGGAGGTGCATTAGACAAAGGGGAATAAAGGGATGGGATGGGGAGACAGGAATAGGAAAGACAGTAGAATGAATTGGACATAACTTTCCTATGTTCATATATGAATGTTCAACCAGTGAAACTTCACATCATGTACAATCACAAGAATGGGATCCTAAATAGAATAATTTATACTCCATGTATGTATAGTATGTATAGTATGTCAAAGTACACTCTCATGTATATCTAAAACAACAAATAAAAAATATTTTTTTAAAAAATGAGGTATCAATGACCCAGATCCTGTCACCTCAGTTGATCCAAGAAATTATTTGGTTTCTATTTGATGCAATTTTTGTAACCCTGGGAAGGTAATTAATAACTTAATTATTTTTAATTTTTATTAAAAAGTATATATTTGGAATTAGCAGCTAGACTCAATTTAGATAGTCTTGATTTTGTTGACAACATCTGAAGTATCATAATCAAGAACAAGTGGAACATATGCCTTCTTCTCTTCATTAGGTTTGACCAGGGTATTGACTTTGGCCACAACAATGTCCTAGAGCTTCTTCATAGCTGTTTGATCTGTTGTTTGTTGGTCTTGACATCTAGAATGACCACAAGTGTTGTGGTGTTCTCTGTCTTCTTCAAGGCGGACTCAGTATAGAGGGAACTTGATGGTGGCATAGTAGTCAAGCTTATTTCCTCTGAGGGTGCTATTTTGAGGATATTTGGGCTTACTCTGGAGCTGCACTGTCTTGCGCTACCAGAACATGGGTAACACTTGGATCTTTTTGTTTTTGTCTGTGGATGCCTTTCAGCATTACCTTTTGGCCTTTGTTTTTGCTTTGGCTTCAGTTTTGGAAGAGGCAGGAGTTTTCTTCTTTACTTTCGGTGTGCTTTTAGTGAAAAGGTTCAAAATAACTATTACTTTAATATTAAGTTACAGGCCTAAGAATAGAAATAAGAATGAATCAAACCAGTGTACTGTTATTTTAGAATTAGTTTAATAATAATAATAAATTTCATAACCATTGTACTTGTACTTTGCCTTTTACTTTAAGTCTGCAGTTGTGAAAAGATTAATCCTGTTAAATTTGTAATTTAAGAGAATTAAAAGTTTATAATCAATGTTTAAATATTAAAGAAACAGTAATTTTCATGTTTTTGTGTCTTAGAGACTGAAGTTTAATAAATCGACCATTAAATAAATATAAGAACAAATTATAATTGATGCTCCTCTCCAAATAAATAAGAACTTTAAGGTTTTTAAGTCAAAGTAATTTTTAAGATCAATATCTGATAGCCCAGTATTATAATTCAAATTATGGCAAACATACCCTTCAAATTTTGTGAAAACCTGTATAAATCCTTTTATAAGTTGTGTTTGATGGATAAACCAAAAGAATCATGTTTATAAAGCTGTAAAGTTACCATTTTAGAGATTGAGGTCCTTTTTGTAGGGTTGTCTTGTACAACATGGACAGAGGTGTCATGGATGGTGTCATGCCATGGGCTTTCCCTTTTCTTCTTTGGTTTTTGACCAGGATAACAGGTGTCAGCCGTAGTTACACAAAGATTGATTCACATTTTTTCTATACCTAATTCCAGTATTTATAGAAAACAAGTTTCCACTTTGTCCATTTTTCCTGCCAGTTTTGGCCTTCTGAGAGCCATTAATTTCTGTGATGCTATTGGCATCTGTGCAGTGTCCTCAAAACCCTCATTGATCTTCTGAGTGACAAGTCTTACTATTTCTTAAAAGTACTTTGTGCACCATAGTGTTTGTTTCTGCCCTGAAGCTGTGTTGATTAGAAACCCATAGAATTGGTAGTTTCTTTCCCTTCTGGCACCTCATTGCCACTCTCTCTTGCTTTCACTCCTTTCAAAGTATTCAGAACATGAAAATAATTTTATAGTATCATCACAGATTAAATCTTGTGCGAGTAAACTGTTAACTTATTAGCCTTTAATCCTGATAGTGTTCTAATATAGTCCTATTCTTTTTCTCTCTCTCACTTTAAAGGGTAGTTCTAAGCAAATTATGGAATAATCAAAATAAGCAGACTATCTTAAGTAAATATAATAGCATTAATATTATAATGCTTGTATATAAGTTAAAATCTATATGCAAGTTAAAATTTTTGCATAAATTGAAACTTCTCTGGCTGTTTTTATTGCTTTTGGTATTTTAGAATCATTTCTTATACATACTATTATATTTTGTTTCTCAAGGGATAAGGATAGATGAGAATTCCGGAAGAATTTTTTTTAAATAAATTTTAAATTAAAAAGGAGAATTCCTGTAACTAAGAATCCTGAAGTTATAGAATGTTTTCTGAATTTAGTATTAAGCAACGAAGATATCTTTCTGTCTTTTTTCTGGTGCTTCTTCTATGTATTGTTACTTCTCCTGGCAAGATTGATGGTCTTCAGTGACCTAAAATCCTTTGTCACATTTGAAACTGACTTGAATCCCCTTTCCTCAGCACTTTATTATATTTCTTGAGTCAGTCCCTTCAAATAGTGAAACAAATGCCACCAGTTGTAATTATATTCTAGAATATAAAGTTAACTTTGAGATAAAGCCCTGAGGCTTTTCACCAAGGTCTTTGATATTTTGTTCTTTGTTCACATGCCTCGAAAAAATAATAAAAATGAAATCACTACTAGAGCTTTAACACCAAAAGGACTATCTTATTCAGCCTCTATTCCTTGCTATGTCTATAAACAAATAAATTTTCCTCCTTTATAGAGGAGGGAATTCAGTATAAAAAATGACTCATTTCTGGGCTGAGGTTGTGGCTCAGCGGTAGAGCACTCGCCTAGCATGTGCCAGGCCCAGGGTTCCATCCTCAGCATCACATAAAAATAAATAAAATAAAGGTATTGTGTTGAAATACATCTAAAAAATAAATATTTTTTAAAAAACGACTCATTTCTGAAAGTTATAGTCTATGGTGTAGTTTGAGATAAGCCCTGGGAAATGCTAGTCTTCCGTTCCCCAGGAAGTAGAATACATGCCTTGTTGACTTTGACCTAGATATTCCTGGTCTATGTCATATAACCCTCCTAAACAGTGCCGTGTTGCACATCTGGCCTCTAAGACCTACATGTGGAATGATGGGTGCAGGACCGTATGGTTAAATGATTGATTTTTTTAGGGTCTGTACTTCAGGTCTTCTTGTGAATGATCTGTCTATGTGTCTATCTACTTACCTAACTCATTTATTTGTTTATCCACCAATTCAACAAACAAACTTCTGGGTCAGGGGTGGCTAAGGCCAATTAGTACCCACTGAGAATATTTTAGCATCAGAGTATTTTACTGACATCTAATTTAAATTTTTTTTTAAATCTTGGTGGAGAAGATCAGTAGATTAGAGGAAAGAGAATGGGAAAGGGAAGAAAGAAAGGAAAGGGAGAGGACATGAACTGAAACTGAATTCCATCAATGTACAAATTTGTTGAGATGAACCCTACTACTGTGTATAACTATAACTATAATGCTCTAATGAAAATTTTTTAAATGAAAAAAACCTTGATGGAAAATATGAGAATTCCTTCTAAATGTTTATTTTTAATATAGTAATGAGATTTCTGTAAAATATTTTATTAATTTATCATATTTTTGAAGCAGTAAATGTTAACATAAGAGAAATATTTTTTTTTCCTGTTCAGTGTGCAGATCAACCCAGGGCCCCTCACATGCTAGGCAGATACTTAGCCACTGAACTATATTCCCAGCCCTTTTTAAAGTTTTATTTTGAGACACAGTGTCTCTAATTTGCTGAGGCTGGCCTCCAATTTATGATTCTCTTGCCTTAGCTTTCTGAGTAGTTTTGATTATAGGTATACACCACCATGTCTAGTTACAAAAGATCATTTTGATGGTGACATCAAAGACAGTATAGGAAAAGATTTCTTTGAAGATTCTTTATAATTCAAAGGAGAAAGAGGGTGAAATCCTTTTTTCTGTTTTTGAATTCTGCTCAAGGACCTGAGAGTTTATTCAAATAAACCAACCAATAAACAAAATATAATCTTTTTTGCAAAGATAATTGCCAATTTTCTTCAAATGTTTCTTTTAACCAGGGGGATGGAGGAGTAGAGGGAACACGGAAAAAATGTGTTTTCATTGATATTAAAATTTTAAGCAACTAGAGATATAAAATTTCAAATAACTTAAGATATGGATAGTGAAACATGAGCATAGAGGATTTCAAAGTTAGAAAAATTATTCTTATGATTTTATTCACTTTATTCATTATCTATGAGGAAGTGGAATGCCATGATTTTTAAAATCCTAGTTGATTTTCATCATTAAAAGTAAAAACCATTTTTTTGTTTTTAGTATGTACTGGGGGGTTTGACCCTCCAACATCAACTGTGAGGAGCTTGAGGGTACAGAGAAACCCCTTGGGATATGGTTTCAGAGAACAGTGTCTGCTTTATCACACAGCAAAATAGCTTTTATAGCGGGTATGTACATATAACAGTCATGATAGGCTAGGGGTAATAAAAACATATCATCTTACAGAAGTCAAGATACCAAAACCAGAAACTGGCATGTAGCTGACCCTACAACAACAAGGGGAATAACTCCTTGTCAAAAGAGCAAGGAAATTTCGCTTGCCAGCATTCTAACAGCACTTTGTCCTAAAACAGCATTCTATGTTAGGACTTCCTTGATGCACAAAGAATAATATAAGCTGAAAAACCTGTCTTGCTTGAGAGGATATATTCTGAGGTTCAACAGATAAAACTTGCTTTTACAGTAGCTATGTAGATATTGCCTAGTAAAAAGAAACTGAAAGAATGGCTCAAACATGATTAATTTTAAATCCTTTGGCTATATACTAAGGAGAGGGATAACTGGGTCAAATGGTGGTTCTGTGACAGGTTTTCTGAGTAATTTCCATACTGCTTTGCAGAGTGGTTGCATCATTTTTCAGTCCTACCAGTAATGTAAGAGTGTACCTTTTTTCCCACATCCTCGCCAACATTTATTGTTACTTGTATTCTTGTATACTGCCTTTCTGACTGGAGTTTTAATTTGTATTTCTCTAATTGCTAGAGATGTTGAACATTTTTTCATTTATTTGCTGACCATTCATATTTCTTTTTCTGTGAAACATAATGAATCCCACCATCATGTGCATCCATAAGAATGAGATCCTAACTAAAATATATTCCATGCTTGTATAATTATATCAGAATGGATTCTGCCATCATAACTAAAAAGAACCAATACATTTAAAATATAATTCATTTACAAAAGATAGGATGATACTATGCATACAGCCTTTTTTTTTTTTTTTTGTACTGGGGATTGAACTTAGGGGCACTTGACCACTGAGCCACATCACCAGCTCTATTTTGTATTTTATTTAGAGACAAGGTCTCACTGAGTTGCTTAGTGCCTCACCGTTCGCTGAGATTGGCTTTGAACTCGCAGTCCTCCTGCCTCAAGTAGCTGGGATTACAGGTGTGCACCACCAAGTCCAGCTTCATACAGCCTATTTTTTGGTGTATCTTATAACTTATTTACATACAATAAGTATAGAATGACATAAAACAAAATAAAACAAAAAAAATGCTTGAAATGTCAGTGAGTCCTAAATACCACCCAAGTATATTCGAATCCTTGAGTCTTAATAATGAAGATAGAAGGCAAAGGGAGTGTGGTGTTAGGAGAAATAATTTTTTTCCTTATCCTTCCAAAATTAACTTGATGTGAACTGCTGTCAGCCAGCTGAGCTCAGAGGGGTCCAGGTGAGCACACGGAGTACAGCTGAAGTCACAGAGGCAAGGCAGCATCCTCTGAATCTTTAGAATGAGCTCTTGATTCCTTTTGGCCTTATAGGAAATGTTCATGCCTAACTCCATATAGCATGAATTCATTTAAATTCTGTGACTTATAATGGAGGGGAGATAATAATACTTAGAAAGTAGATAACTATTTTTCCTTGTGTATTTAGAAATACTTACAATAATTCAGCTAAAATAGAGAATTGGGTTGGGTTTTAGCTAAACTAATTCTGAATAATTGTAGTTCTATTTGGCCCTATTTAAAATATTTTTTCAGAAATGGAATAATTTTATAATTTCATTTCTAAAATGAAAATAATTTTATAATAATAAGATATATTTATAAAATATTTGATAATGTCACTTTAATTGAGGGAGTTCAAGTTATGTGATTTTAAAATGCTGAATGAGAGGGTATGGATTTAGTATTTTAATAAAACTGGAATTAAAGCATATGTTCTCTTCCAGAGCCTGAAGCTGAAAATACTGAAGTTCTGTCACATCTAGAAGAGGTTGGTTTGTATAACAGATTATCTATGTAGATCATGGACTTAGATTTTTTAAAATTATGTTGATTAAACTATTAAGCTAATTTAGACCCTATCCTAAGGCAGTAATATGACCAAACCATTTCAATAGGTAGAAATTCATTCTTGTTCAAAAACCTCTTCTAGTATTTATTCTTCCTTATCTGTAATAAAACAGTGTTTTCTTGATCAATTTCTTAATTCATCTCAGCTGTATTTTATGCAGTTCTTGCCAACAAGTTTTTTTTTTTTCTCAAGTCAGGAGCCAGAAGACAGGAGAAAGAGCATAAATTTTGGAATCAGAACTAGGTTCTGAAGTCAGCTATGTTATTTATATCTGTAAAATATAGACAATATCTGTTTCTCAGAGTTATTGTAAGGACTAAAAGCAATAAGTTTATAATATATGTCACCTAATTAGTGCTGAATAAATATGTGTTCCTCCCTTCCTTCACTCCCTTACAAATCTTTGATTACTGGCTCAAGACCTTTATCCTCTGTGGATCTGTTTCAGATGACTCTGGTAATCTTGACCAAAGTAATTACTCTCTCTTTAGTGTTTATTTTTCACTGTCTGTAATCAGTATTTCCTAATTACTTGTCCTCTGACATTAATAGATCTTCTGAGGAAAAAGAAAGATTTATTTTTGGACAAAACTATGAAGAACACAGTGTCCTAGTTTCCCCAGATATTTACAGTGCATATGCTCTGAAAAGTTCTGTAGTAAAGCAGCTGATTTAATTTTGTTTTGTCAAGTATTTTTCAAACAATTATAAAACTCTACATGGCCTCTGCCTCCCTGATGACTTTTTCTTGCAAGATACTAGACTCTGTGGGATTGTTTGTTATACCTAGAGCCTTATATTTAGTAGACATAAGGACTTCAAATAGGAGGGAGGCCTTAAGATACCGCTTAAAGAATGGGTAGGATCTAGTTCTTGATTCATTTTTAAATTTCTTTAGCTTTCCCAGCAAATTAGAGTTGGTATTACTAATAAATAAATATATCTTCTTAAGCTCTGTATGCTGTATTCATAGAAGATAAATGGTGCCAGATAGAAAAAGATCAGTGGAAGAATAAAATTTTTTATTTATAAATATTTTTTATTTATAAACATGTGTTATAAATATTAGAAGGCTAAAAAAATAATAGTGCAGTCTATGAAAGAGGTGGTAGATTTGATTTTTGGAAACAGCCAAAGTCATTGAAACCCATTCTGTTATTTAAGGTCAAGCAAATTACTAGTTTTTTGTTGCTGGAAAAAAATTCAATACCTTTAAAGTATGTTATATTCTTGAATGACTTATCAACTGATTTTGAAATCAGTTTTTCAGGAGAGATTATAATAATATTTTGAACATTATAAACATTGTGAGAATAGGCGCAATCTATTTATTAAGGTAATATCTTGGAAAAGTAATGGTTACTTGAAATGTAAGTGTTGTGTATTTTCTTTAAAATATCACAACCCAGATCTATTAATTTATAACCAGGGCTTGTAATACTTTCACAGATTGCACCCTCAATTCTCCTATTTTCCCCTAGGATTTCCTGTCCTTCAGTCTTTTCACTTCTTATTGTATATTAATACAAAGATAGGGACTAAAAATAAGGTGGATGACATAATTTTATTCCTAGTTAATAATTTTTATAAAACTAAATACAAGCTTGGGCAAGAAAGAATTTTGTAATTAACTGCTATGAAGTTTTGAGATGACCTGTTACTTTAACTGTTACATCTGTGTCTTCTATTAGCACAGATAATTTAAACTTAATTAAATTGATCATTTTCCATCTGTAACTATGGTCCAACCAAAGTTACTCTCAGTCCACTATTAAGTGATTAATTATGTATTCAGTCTTTAATAATTTGGTATAAGAAAGTAGTAAGGAATATTCTTTTTTACTTAAGGATGAGGAGAACAGTTGATAAAACCACTTTTTGAGGGTAACTTACAAACAAAATAAATTACAAAACTAAATTTTTAATTTCAAATGTTTTCTTGTATATGCTGTAATGATGGAATTTCTTTTTGGAATGTACAGGAACTAAGTGAAAACAGAGATTCCCCTGAAATTAGCCTTCTTGCAGGTACTGCTATTACAGTATCTGGTATGCTTGCTGTAAAGGAGAAATCATTAACAGAGCAAGAGAAGATCTTAGCAGTACCACATGCATTTTCTGAACCTGGGAAGGAAGTTTCAATGACTATGACTTCTAAAGAAGCCAAGGATGAAGAAAGCTCCCTTGAAACTTTTGTATCTGCCTTAGAAAGGTTGCTAACATCACCAGACAGCACCCAGGAGGAAAGACTGTTAGAAATAATGAATGATTTTGATCCCGGAGAATTGATTAACTCCCCAAGTTCCATAGAAATACCTTTGAATGCTTCATCAGCTTATAGCAGAGATTTGCTAGAAAACACAAAGGATGATACATTACCTGCAGAGTTATTGGCAGCCCTGAACACATTGTCAGAAACCAAGCTGGGACCCATCTGTCACAGAATAGAGGAAGGCAGCAATCTTAGTGATGAAAATGGATGTTTAGAAGTAGAGCCTGTTATGTCCCAAACTGATGAAGATTGTACACAAATAGCAGAGGTGAATTTTGAATCTCTTCATTCTACTCTATCATTAGAGCAAAGTTCCAACTTCGCTGGGCTGCGGGACAATGGTCTAGCAGTGGAACAAGTAGGTGCAAGTATGAGTTGATGATTTTGCCTTTTTTTATTGTTGACATTTAACAAGTAAATCTACATTGTATTAAATTCAAATCTTCTACCCAAATATCAACATCTTAGAAGATATTTTCTAATTTCGAGGCATATAGTGATCTTTTTAAAAGTTCTTGCATACAGTTTTCAAGGGGTTAGGAAGCTAAAATAGATTTTTCCCCAATAGACCTGAGAAGGCTTATTATTAATTTTCTTGTGTATATAGGAAAGAAAGGTTCTTTACCAGAAATTTCTCTGTTAGCTCAGAAAATCATTATGTTTACCTAGATTCAGAGTAGAGACGAGATACCTCACATTAATTTATAGAATGTATGTAGTTGGGCTGCCAGGTGAGGGGGAAAAGTGCCCAGCTTTAGCAGAACTTTGCCTTCTGTGTCTGAGAATACTGCCAGAATTCCAGCAATGTTATATGTAGAGGCCCTACAATGGCCTACTGCGTTCCAAGTTTCTTTTTCATGTTGGCAATTTGAATATTCATTTAAAAAAATCAAACATTACAGCATTAAATAATAATATAGAAACAAAAAGTGCTCCTTTGCCTCAGTTCCACTCTAGAGTTTTCACTCTTTTTTAAAATTTTCGTACCAGGGATTGAACCCAGGGAGTTGCTTAACCACTGAGCCACATCCCCAGCCTCCCCCTCCCCCACCTTTTTAAATTTTGAGTTGCTTAGGGTCTCACTAAATTGCTGAGGCTGGCTTTGAACTTGGCAATCCTCCTGCCTTAGCCTCCTGAACTACTAGGATTGCAGGCATGCACCACTACGAGTTTTCACTCTTAGCAGTTTGGTACATCTATGTCTAATTATTGCTATTATAGTCTATTTAAGTTTATTTTACTCACATGGGATTTTATACAGAATGCTTTACAACTTATTTTTGAAATTTAATAATACATCTTGGTTATTTTTTCAGTGTTAGGAAATATAATACTACTTAAATATTTTAACTTGCTAAATGGTCTTACAATATATGAATATATTGTAATTTATTTAAACAATTCATTAATGGTGGTCATTTGGATTCTCTTTGTCTTTTGACTATTACCAAAACGCTCCTGTGAATATCCTTGGGAAGATTTAGATAACAATGCTGAGCTCATGTTGCAACATATATGCCTAGAATAATACTATATGGGGTTCTGATTATCATATCCCAAAACAGATATAATAGGACTAAGAGAGAGACAGAGACAAGGACAAACACAGATTATGGAGATAGGGGATAAAAATTAAACATTGTAGTGCTCTAATCTGAAAAGAAGGAATATGAATAAAATGTATGGGAAATTATGATAGGTACTCATAAAGGGAGCACAAACTTGGCAATTCTTCAAAATAAAAGAAAAAACTTTTAAAAGTAGAAAAGAGATGTGCTTAGAACAGAACAGATCAAGTTAAATACTCTAATTCAGGTGTGATAAAAATACGGAAATTTTTATCTTGAACCTTTACAAACTGGATATATAAATAAGCTAAAGGTTTAGATGATATGTGTAAAATAAAAATCTTCATGGAAATTAAATTTATAATGGATTATTAAGGAAAACTAGAGCAATTCAGGTTATACTGTGACCTTTTTTAAATCAGTGTAAATAAGGTTATATACTATCTTGTCCCACAAGTTTTAATGTCCCTTATTGTTGCTGCTAAATAACAAAATACTAGGCTAAGTAGACCACTGATCTGGCCTAGTATGGCTTTTTTTTTTTCTTTTGTATAAGATACTGAACCCAAGAGCACTTAACCATTGACCCACATCCTCAGCCATTTTTATTTTTTGAGACAGGGTTTCTCTCGCTGAGTTACTTAGAGCCTTGCTAAATTGCTGGCTTTGAACCTGTGATCCTCTGCCTCAGCCTCCCAAACCACTGGAATTACAGGTGTGCAACATCATGTCCAACTCTAGTATGGCATTTCTAATGTTTTTATGGGTTTTGTCATTTTTACTATTTCCTATAAAACTGAAGCACCAAGAATAGTCTTAGGTTTTTCCCTTAAGTTTTACAGATGAGTATTGAATAAATCATTTTTACTAAATTATGTTCTTAAGTTTTTAAATTTATATTATCTTTTATTACATTAATTATTATTAAAATAATTTAGTTGACATGCCTGTGAATTCTTGCACTTTCATCTTTTCAGAGGCATATAAATTTTATCCAAGAACAAGATCAAACTTAATTTCTCCTAATGTTAATATTTTTCAGTACTATAATTATTTATGGATGTATCACATCTTTACAGACTGTCGAAGACCTAAGTTCATTTGAGTTACCAACTTTGCCTCATCAAAATGTCCCCTCTTGTGAGCCACTAAATAATAAAGGGAATTCAAATTCTATGGAAAATGCCTCTGACCAGGAAACTCCATGTATATTAAGAAGATCATCTAGACTAGAAAAACTGAAAGTAAGCCGAGATGCAAATGGTACAAATGACATATGTAAGATTACAGAAGAGATTTTACCAAAAATACCTAGCTGTGAGGATCAAATAAATAATAAATCTTCAACTAACAATTTCAGGTATGCTATTAAATTGAATCTTTGTTTCCAGTTATGTTATGAACCTAATAAATAATTATATGCTTGAGAATGTTAGCTAAGGTCAGTGTAAAGTTACCCCTAAGTAAAGAGCTTTATTACTTTTTATGTTGCTGCTTTTTTAATTTTGCGGTTTTTGATCAGTGCCATTCCATTAAGCAAATCCTTATTTCTTGAAAACAGCCTGCCTTTTTTGCCCTAAAGGGGAAATAGAGTGGATACTGGCATCCTGATTTGGGAAGTGATATATAGGAGACTCAGCGTACTCAGATTTATAGGAGACTACACCTAGAGGAGAGAAACACAAAGAGAACTAGAATCTATGAAGACTGGCAATATAGCATGTCTGTCACAGAATCATCTGTAGTTAACTCAGGAGCCATCTCTATATTTAAAACTGCCTTGCTACTTAAGAACAGCTCAGTAAAATATCTTTGAGTTTTAAAATTGTAGTCAAAATTTGGTATGATTTTTCATGAATGCCTGTAGAAAAATTATGGTAATTTTAAAAATACCTTTATTTTTCAAGAATGCAAGATCCTGTTTTAATGATTGAAGGTAAAGGGAAGAGTATCCATTCATCCAGACTCAAGAGTAAACAGATCAGGAAAAATAAACGACTTTCAATAAAAAATGGTAAGGCATATTTTGGGTATTTCTCCATTTCTTTAAGTCACATAGGAACAATTATGGTAGAAAAGATTCAAAGATTATCTGTCTCAACTTTCTCATTTTATTGATGAGGAAACTGAACTTCAGAGATGGTAAGGTTTTTCCAGCATCACACAGAGCACTAAGAACACAACTGGGATTTGATCGTAAACTTCTGGCTCATAGGCTGGTATTTTTTTCTGTACTTCTGTTTTGGAGAGGGTAAATACAGAAGTCTTTTCAAATTTAGGTATTTGACCAGCCTAACAAAACTGTGAGAAATTATACCAACAGTAGTGGAGAAAAGAACAAAGCCAGATTGTTATTGTTCTTATCTCTTATCTATGTTCCTATATAACCCAAAAGATTGAACTGAGAAAACCTCTCAAATATAATAAGAGAATCTAGAAACATTGGTTAAAACATAATAGTGGAAAATTGGCAAAATTGGAATATGGACTGCAGATTGTATCAGTGTTAAATTTCCTGAATTTGGTAATAATACTGGGTTATATAAAAGAATGTCCTGTTCTTAGAAAATAAACACTTAAATATTAATGGTAAAAGGATATGGTATATAAAAGGTACTCATTTTATTTTTTATGTGTGTATATGTATAAATGAAGAGGGAAGTAGACTGTTTAAAGTCGTGGCAAAATGTTGACAATGAATGAATTCTTTGATCTTCTTTTTATTTTTCTTTCTTTTTTCAGTACTAAGGATTAAGTCCAAGGTTTTGCATACATACTAGGCAGGTGCTCTACCACTAACCTATATCCCCAACCCTTTGTTTGTTTTTATAACTTTCCTATAAGCCTGAAATTATTCAAAATAAAAATTCAATAAACCAAAGAAGATAAAATTAATATATTTTATATAATTATTAACTAGAGATACAAGAGAATATCCAATTTATAATTGTTACAAAAGACAGACAATACCTACTTATATCAGTGTTAAGAAATATGATAAATACCTATAAGAAGAGAGCTTACAAATTCTGCTGAGGTACGTTAAAATAAAAAGACTCAAATAAATGGAAAGAAGAACTTTGCTCTTGACTAAAAAGATTACGTGTTACAAGAAACTTACTTCTCTTAATTACTTAATAAATACAAGAGATCTCTATCAAAAATAGATTTTTGTTTATTTGTTCATTGTTTTATTGTTTAGGTGTTTTTTTTTTTTTAACAGAGCTGGAGGATAGCTATGGGAATGTTACAAAATGATACTAAATTTTAGCTGGAAAAGTAATTATGAAAAACTAGATAAGAAAATTCTGAAAAAAGCAAAGGGAAGGTAGAGTGGTAGGACCCTGTTCTATATAATATCAAAGCATATTAGAGGAGACAGGAAGATGGTGGAAGTGAACTAGATAGTGAGTACCCATCTCTTTACAACATGGACGGAAAGTAGTCAAGGAAAAGCAGAATTGAGAGGTGGATGACAAAATAAATGTTCTAAGACTCAGTATTACAAAGTCTGAGATCTGGAAAGACTGGAAGATAGATTACCAGAGTAGAAAACAAGCTCAGAGTCCCCTAATCCTGAACTTGAACCTGGTGTTAGGAAGGGGGGAGGGGCAACAGAGAGAGAAAATGGTGGGGGAGCCAAAAAATCTCTTAAGCCCACCTACTTAAAAGGAAAAACACAAGTGTAACAGATGGATCCTTAAAACATAGTAAACAACTTAAACAAATTTATGAAAAGAAAATTGAGCTAGGGGTCTGCAGTCATCTCTGGAGCCTTCAGCAGACCAGTCACCTCCTTAAATCAGCACAACATCTTCCCTGCCCAGACAGCTGCAAATTAAACCAAAGGGAAGTCCCTTGCAGTGGGATCTCTTAAGAATCTGGCTGGAAAGAACTTCTAGAAGGACCACTACTACCCCAAAATCAATGAAATCCTCTCTTTTACTCCCTTATTGTGAACAAGGAGAATGAGCTACTGGGAACTATATCAAGAAATTGCACCTAACACTGCTCAGCCTCTGGGACCCAGGAAAGGGCAGAAAGCTCTGTGCAGCCTCCACTCACTCAATTCAGACAGGGACAGCAATGAAGCAGCTGTGGCCCTGAACAGAGGAAAGCAGATTCACCAAATCCAGACCACTGACACTGGGGAAAGGCACCCTGGGAAACCTAGGGTTGGTCCCCAGGATTGCAGGGCCATACCAGAGGGAAACTGCCCAGTGGAAAATTACCAGAATCTATGCAACAGGAAGGGGTTGATCCCAGCCTTAACTGGTGCACAACCTGACCTGTGGTCACACTTGGCAAGTGACAGGGCATTGTTTGAATACTTGTAGGACATTGCATCAGACTTAGTAAACAGAGGGAATCAATGCCCACTATTCACAACCCGGGGCAGTGGAGACTATGGTCCAGGTGAGCCACCAGAAACCTTTCACTACAGTACCTCAGAGAGCAACTTGATCAGGAGAATACTTCTGCACCACAGAACACCCATGGAAAACCCAGAGCCAGAGTTCCTGAATTCACAGACAGGCATGGGGATTTTCACTACTTTGAAAAGAATCTGATAGACGGGAGCAGCTACACTGTGACCCATAACAATCACAGGGACACTCCAAAGCCTGCATCTTGTATTACTGTACACAATAGAAACAGCCAACTCACAACACTAACTGGTCACCTGTAGGCCCTTGAGCTGATAAACCAGAAGTTGCTAGTAGGAGGTTCATAGCAACTAGGGAATTGGCTCCTGTGCCCCTGCAACTTAGGAGAGATCCACAGCCAAAGACTGATGGACATCTGCTAAATGTCTAAACCCCAATGAAATCCAAACCAAACTTTAATAAAAATTTTCCTTGCCTTGATATGGTCTACTATAAACAACTCTAATGTCAACTTGATTTATAAATAACTTTTCAATTTTTAATCCAATTGCCAACATTGTAACTTCAACCTGTTTGAATATTTTTCATGTAATGTTTTTTTTAGCATTAATTAGAATCAATCTTCTTAACTTTGTTTTCCTAGCTCTAGTTTATACTTGTTCTTCTTACCCCCTGCCCATCTTCTTGCATAATCGGATACTACCTCAAATACTAATCATTAATCTATTTCTCCTTTCTACCTTGGTGTAATTATTCTTTTATAGCTTCTCTCTCTCTCTTGTCTCTCTCTCTCCTTTTTGCCCTATCTTTATTCTGACCCCACTTTAGTCCACATTTAAGGTTATAGTGAGTTTACTAAATTTAATAACTATTTTTTTTTGCATTTTTATTTTTTTTTCTTTTTTCCCCCTCTATTTCCTTTTATTTATTTATTTATTTATTGGTTGTTCAAAACATTACAAAGCTCATGACATATCATCTTTCATACATTTGATTCAAGTGGGTTATGAACTCCCATTTTTACCCCACATACAAATTGTAGAATCACATCAGTTACACATTCACATTTTTACATAATGCCATATTAGTGACTGTTGTATTCTGCTACCTTTCCTATCCCCTACTATCTCCCCTCCCCTCCCCTCCCATCTTCCCTCTCTACCTCATCTGCTGTTGTTCAGTTCTTTCCCTTGTTCCCCCCCCTTTCCCCTCAAAACCTCTTATATGTAATTTTGTGTAACATTGAGGGTCTCCTTCCATTTCCATACAATTTCCCTTCTCTCTCCCTTTCCCTCCCACCACTCGTCTCTGTTTAATGTTAATCTTTTCCTCATGCTCTTCCTCCCTGCTCTGTTCTTAGTTGCTCTCCTTATATCAAAGAAGACATTTGGCATTTGTTTTTTAAGGATTGGCTAGCTTCACTTAGCATAATCTGCTCTAATGCCATCCATTTCCCTGCAAATTCCATGATTTGTCATTTTTTAGTGCTGCGTAATACTCCATTGTGTATAAATGCCACATTTTTTTTATCCATTCATCTATTGAAGGGCATCTAGGTTGGTTCCACAGTCTAGCTATTGTGAATTGTGCTGCTATGATCATTGATGTGGCAGTATCCCTATAGTACGCTCTTTTAAGGTCCTCAGGGAATAGTCCGAGAAGTTCGATAGCTGGGTCAAATGGTGGTTCCATTCCCAGCTTTCCCAGGAATCTCCATACTGCTTTCCAAATTGACCGCACCAATTTGCAGTCCCACCAGCAATGTACAAGTGTACCCTTTTCCCCACATCCTCGCCAGCACTTATTGTTGTTTGACTTCATAATGGCTGCCAATCTTACTGGAGTGAGATGGTATCTTAGGGTAGTTTTGATTTGCATTTCTCTGACTGCTAGAGATGGTGAGCATTTTTTCATGTACTTGTTGATTGATTGTATGTCCTCCTCTGAGAAGTGTCTGTTCAGGTCCTTGGCCCATTTGTTGATTGGGTTATTTGTTATCTTATTGTTTAATTTTTTGAGTTCTTTGTATATTCTGGATATTAGGGCTCTATCTGAAGTGTGAGGGGTAAAAATTTGTTCCCAGGATGTAGGCTCCCTATTTACCTCTCTTATTGTTTCTCTTGCTGAGAAAAAACTTTTTAGTTTAAGTAGGTCCCATTTGTTTATTCTTGTTATTAACTCTTGGGCTATGGGCGTCCTATTAAGGAATTTGGAGCCCGACCCCATGATATGTAGATTGGAGCCAACTTTTTCTTCTATCAGGCTCAGAGTCTCTGATTTGATATCAAGCTCTTTGATCCATTTTGAGTTAACTTTTGTGCATGGCGAGAGAAAGGGGTTCAGCTTCATTTTGTTGCATATGGATTTCCAGTTTTCCCAGCACCATTTGTTGAAGATGCTATCCTTCCTCCATTGCATGCCCCTTTATCAAATATAAGATAGTTGTAGTTTTGTGGATTAGTCTCTGTGTCCTCTATTCTGTACCATTGGTCCACCTGCCTGTTTTGGTACCAGTACCATGCTGTTTTTGTTACTATTGCTCTGTAGTACAGTTTGAAATCTGGTATCGCTATACCTCCAGATTCACACTTCCTGCTTAGAATTGCTTTTGCTATTCTGGGTCTTT